AATAATGCTATTGCAGCTGATTTGTTAAATGTCTTCACTCATTCTATAAGCATGTGACTCTCTTGGAAAAATCATAATTTCTTACATTTTCATTTATTTGACTGCAGAAAAATACAATCTAATCTCAGTAGAAATTTATTTTAAACTATTATATTGAATAGAGTTTATTCAAGATATTTGGCTGTATCACAATTGGTATAACTTCTTAATATGGCTACATATGACAGGGCCAATAGGTGGATCTGTGTCATCACTACATAACCATGGCAAAATGGCCTCATCAAATCTTTCTATTGTGCCCAATTCTAAAAATAAGGATAGATAGTTGCAGATATGACGTACATTCTAAATCCATTAATTGTGATTAAAAAACAGATTCAAAGGACTTACAACCTTAAGGGAGTCAGGGGCTCTAAACTTCCATAATCATTAATACTATTATATACTTCTTACTAAGAGTGTGTATGTGTGCGTGTATGTTTGGAACTTAAAATGCCCACTAAATAATTCCCTAATTATTGAATAATATAATTCATAAAGTCATTAAAATAAATTCCATCAAATTATACATTATGCTATGTAGATTATTATTTTGGTAATATTAACCATTAATATACTTGAAACAAAGAGATAGTGTGCATGAGTTATTGCTCTATGAGACCTAATAGAGAATAACAAAGCAAAGTTGAGATTTAACTGCTGGGTAGACACCAGACTCACTCATGAGCTAAGATAACTTCTACCCCACAGAAATGAATACAGTGCACATGATTCAACTTCAAATTCAGGAAAATTATAATTTATTTTATATCAGATTCACTCAAATGTTTTTGGAAATAATTATGTTAAATTTACAAAATCTAAAGCTCTATGTTGTAATATTTGCTGACTTCTTTTCCTTGGTTCCGATATAGCTTTATGTCCTTTCAATTCTGTTTTTGTAATCATGAAGCAATTAGGGAGAAAGTGACTACTCTATAATTTGATAAGTCCTTCTAAATCTGTAAATTCTTTGTTCTGAGGAATTATTTTATAACAATAAAAGGGCTCACATTTGCACTGTATTTTTTATTTACATAGTACTTTAACATTTGTAAGGATAATTTATTTTATTAATTTGACAGAGTTCTGGTTTGATAAGAATTCTAAGTTAATTTCCATTAAATTAGGTGATGCATGAAGGTGTATGGTACATTGGCAGAGAGAATTTTTCATTTTGATGTTCCTGTTTAAAATTCTAGAGTTCTCTAATTTAATATGTAAATTAAGTCTTTAGTTTTAAATAGTCATAGGATGATTTATGCTATGTGAATACAAATCAATGCTAATGTAATATATTTTAATACCTGAGCATTTACTGAAATGAAGTTGGAAGGTACGTTATTTTTATACTTCCTATATTAAAATACTACCGAATTTTACACTACAAAAACCTGTATGCTTTGGTTAATACCATTTAGCATTTCTCCCCAAAAGGTGACTTAACTGTGAGAATTTAAGGGATTAATATATCTCAATCTCTGTGACTAAACTAAAAAACATATTTAAATAATTTTAAAGAGTTCCATAAGAAAACCTGTAACTGTGATTTTTATATTTTATAGTAAAATTTAAATATTTTTAAAACTTTACTGTTTAAATTTTTTTAGAGAAATTCCCTTTATTCTCTTCTTCATAGAAGATGCGTTTTATAACATACCCTTATGAGTAAGAGAGAAAGCAAAACCTATTAAAAAAGCAAAAGACCTCAAAACCTTTGTGGATGGCAAAGAGGTAGCAGTTGAGTAGTGTGAAAAATGTTACGTCAAAATAAATGTTAACTGGGCTTCACAATCCAATTCACAAACACCTTATATTTTGGCATTGACACTGTAATAGAGCATTAGCAAGATCTTTCTCATTCATTCATAAGGGCCAGCAGTATATGAAAATAGAATAGGAGAACTCTTACCTATATGACTTAAAACAATGCCTCACAAAATTAAACACAGAACTACAAAAGAAAAGGAAAATGATCATGCACCAATAGAGGTCTAGAGGTCTAATTTGAAGAGGCTTATTATGAGGAAAATAATATCTTCAAAACAATAGTTTAACTTAAAAAATAAAACAAATGTATTCTACTCAGAATATTTGTTATAAAATTTATAAAAATTTGTATTATTTAGTACTGAATGAAATAGGTGTCCCAGTAAAAAAAAAAAAAAAAAAGAAAATAGAAAAAAGAAAACATACATTATTTCTGTGATTTCAATGATTTCATGTGTTCATTGGCAATCATTACACACCCTGGTTTTAGAAGCACAGACATGAAGTCCAAGAGAGTCTTGCCAACTAGAAGAAATCTCTTCACCAAGCTGTCATTTAATTTTATCCCACCTTCTCTCTTCTCTCTGAAGAGAATTATGAATGACCAACAACATTGGAAGAAGCACCTACTCTATAGAAAAAGAATGGTTTCCTCCTAATTTCCCTATAGCTCATTAGTGATATGCGGTGTAAGAAGTGTGTGATCTTTGAAGTTAGAGATTTGTGCATTCTCATCACATTTCTAGCACTTCTATGTATGATCTTGGGTAAATCTTTCACCTCATTTTAGCCTCCATTTTTTGATTCTTTATCCTACATAAAGATAGCAATGTCCTGTTTATCATGTTACAGTAAGGGTATAATGATGATGTCCATAGAGTGTTTGGCATAGTACATTTTATTCATTCAGCAAGAATTGACTGTATGCCTAGTCTGTGTTAGCCATAGTGATAATCCCAGAAGATAGAACTGTAAACTGATATGGTCCCTGGCCTTCTGGAGCTCAGAATATATGAGGCAAAAACAGAAACAAAAAGAGCAAATTGATAAAGAAACAAGGCAATTCATATATTAGTAAGTTTTTAAAAAGAGAAAAAAAAAAGTGATATATCAATGGTGTAATGGCACCAGCTCACATTGTCATGGCTAGTAAGAGCTGTTTGTTTGCATTTCTTCTCAGCTCTACACTTAATGACATGACATTGGTAGGGTAAAATTAACCATTGTCAGGAAATTTACAGTAAGGAAATCATTAAGGGCCACAAATCACCCTTTCCCCTTCTTCCTGCTCCTGAAAGTCTGTTCTTATATGTTTACCAGAACGCTACTGGGTGTAATAGTGACAAGGAAACAAGGATGATTAATAAGTGAGATGGTCAAAACTCTCTGAGGAGATAGCATTTGATTTGAGGACTTAATGATCAGAATGAGCCAGTCCTTGCAGAGATCCAAGGTCAGAGCGTTTCAGGCAAAGAGAACAGCAAGTACAAATGCTCTAAGGCTTGGAATGTTTGAGGAACGGTTATACAAAAAAGGATAATTTATGACAGTGACTATTTCTGAGAAGATACTAAATTTGTTGGTGTTACAGAGAATGACCAGGGTTGTGAGCTTCTAGGTGTTTAATATGTGACATTAATTTCGAAAACCGGTTTTAATCCAGACAATCTAAGATCTAGAAAATTCATTAGCTTATGTAAGATAAGCTAACATCAAGTTTTAACTTTCTGCTAGGACTTTATTTCATCTAATCTTTTCAACAAACTCATTAGACAAGTAAAGTAAAGGTAACTTTGTTCCTCAACTATTGCTGCTAATTAATGAAGAACTCAGGCTGGAAACTTGGTAAGGCTAGGCTTAAGGGCTACACTTGGTTTCTAGTCTGTATTACAGTGAGAAATTTCAAGAGGAGAAAGGAGAGTAAGAAAGAAAAGAGAATGTGCCAAAAATGCTTTGGCAGGCCTAAGAGAGGCAGAAGGGAGAAGCCATTGGACTTGGGCTCCCAAAGGAAAACCCCAGAAACTGGATCAAAGATCAGGAGTCTATAGAAAATAATTGCCAAAGAGGCCCTGCATCACAGTGGTGACAGGACTAAAGACAAACTGCTCATATCGCCAAGAGGGGATGTTGATCTGTCTTTGAAGTCCCTTCATATAGGTTTGATCTTTGATTCATCTTCCAGAAAATTAACTATTTGTGGGCCTTGAAATTTATGATGAATTTTGAAGAAATTTTTTCTGTATTAACTTGAAAATATCCTGGCCATCTATATAGTAACTATTCTAATTAGATATTATGTATCACCAATTTTAATACTTAAAAAAGTCAAACTTTTGATCTCATTGAAATATTTTTTCTCACAAATTGATACAAATAACCAAACACCTTTTTTCTAATTTTTATACTTTTAAAAAATGTTCCCATTTTGCATACATGAATGCTTTTATTAATTATATTTTACTGATATTTTTTCTTTAGTAAGGGTAACATCTAGAACCTGTTTTAATGTTTAATAGTCCATCTTATCTATGATTCATAGGGAGAGGTACTTAAGTGTCAAGGGACATTTTCTAACAGTATGGTATGGATTTCTATTTCTTGGAATCGTAAATGAGTCCTTTTGCAATAGAATTTCTAAGAAAGTCTTGATAATGCAACAGCAATGAAAATAATAAACTAATTTTCATACAAAACCAATTTTCATACCGAGGTTTTATGCTTATAAAATAAACCTTGCTATTCCAGTAACTAGCATCACATTCAAATAATTCTCTTCTCAGTTATTTGCATTTTAAATTAAGGAAACAAATTAATAAGAATATTCAAGCAAATGGGAGAGTAGGAAGGCAAATGAAATAGGATCCCTGGCACCTGTTGCTTAAATGTTATTTAAATATATTTCCTTTTTTTTTTTCAAAGTAGAATATCAGTTTCAAATATGAGAAAAATAAAATTTAGCACCAACCTCCTCAAGACAGAGGTGTATTTCTTGGAGGGAGGTTCAGGATGAGGAATGGTGTGCATAGCTACAGGAGGGTAATAAAGGGCAGTGGTACTCAAAGTAAACGAGGCCTAGTGAACATGCGCAAGGACTCACTGCACTTGAATATGGGTTAGAGCTTTTCTCTGTGAAGAAATATTGAGTCTGATGTATATTTCTATTGATAGTTGGAAAAGACATTTGATCATACCTGAAATGCAAGTCTTTAAAGGAGAATTGAGTTTCAATGATTCCAGTTGTTTTCACTCGAGAATGTAGAACATCTTGCTCATTGGGGACATATCCAGGAGCTGTTATTCTGTCCAAATCATTAAGGTAGCTAATAAAAATCAAAATAAAATAGCATATATATTTTTAACTTCGCATTTGAAGATATCAGGATTTGGTAAAAATAAATTTTTTGTTAGGGTCCGTTAAAATTATTAAACTCTAGACTGGTGCTTTTCAAACTCTGCTCATCAAAATTATAAGAGCTTGGTGACCAGAATTTTGCAGAGTTCTGAGTATAGCTGGCCCATGGAGATGAAGCCTTTTTTAAAGGTAGATAGATAAATATTACCTTAGCTTGTATTTTATGAGGCTTGTATGGTAGATTTGCTGCTGTATAAATAGATGTTTGAGAGAAAAGTTCTCATTATGGAACTTTCATCATCCAAAAAAATCCTACTTGTAATGGTAGTCACTAAACTAGTCTCAAAATGTTGTAGTTTGTATTTAGGCACTTTGAATTTTAAGAATGATTGGTTTTAATATTGTAATTTGAACGTTCTTGTGTTGTTTCTCCATGGATTGTCTAACTTAGGACTCTGAACAATTTTTATTAAGTGCCATGATTTTATCCAATTAGCTCAATAAAAAAAACCTTTTGACTTTCTTGCTGGTCCATGCTGGAACTAATTCATGAAATTGCTCAACCACCCTGAGCTAGCACTCTTGGATACAAAAAGCTGAATTTAGCTACTCCTGCCTCCTCTTCTCTTCCATTAGTGCATCAGTGTGTCTTACTCT